CATTGGAAAAACTGTTTCTGTCTTACATTCAGAACACTCTGAAGCCACATCTTTGCTACACAAGGATCACTTTTTCATATGTTTACCTCATCATTTAAAACTTTGACTATGTTTATTAGAACCACCCAACAGTGTGCCACTATACTGCAGATAATCTACAAAGATCATCTGCTCATGTTTAATAAAACTTTAAAAAGAAATCTCTGGATTTTGCTTTACGCTCTCATTTTCAGGTCAATGAGGTCACATTTTTTACAATAATATACAGATATATAATAGATCATTTATACCAGCTACTATAAATTAGCACCACATGGCCAAAAACGATGCTATAGACCACACAAATGTGGTTAATATTTTGCTTTTAAAGGTCTGTTCTACTCCATCTAATCTGCTGAAAAACACAAATGCAAAAGCACACGGTGACATTTTAGAGAACAGAGCTTTTAAACACGGCAATATCCTCACAGCATGAAGCATTACAAATATTTTTTTTATCCATGTTGGTAACAATTAACTTGACTGGGATCCACAGAACCCTTACCTCACCAGCCATTAATATTAACGGGTGTAATGCAGGTAGTGAAGCTTTGATTGAGGCAGATCTGGAATGGCAGATATCCTTAACATGCTGTTATAAAAGTACAGCAGAGCAAAAAAGTTTTAAGTATCCTTTGTCCTTCAGTGTACAAGCAGCTCAAATCTGAGAGGATGCAAGATGAAGGGAAAGCACACATACACAGAGCAAATAGTAGAGATAATCATGCCTGCTGCATCTAATGAACAGATATAACAAGCACTTCTCTCATTGTGTCATCTAATTTATCAGCTATTGTCCTGCGCTCCTTTTTTCTGTCAAGCTCCTTCAGGCTGATTGCAAATAAAATAGAATTAGCAATCATTTTCTTCTAACCCGATTTAATGAGCAATTTAATTTCAAGAGACCCAGATTTACTGCATGCACCGGCTTCATTCGTTTAAGTATGTATACATAATCAAACACACATGCTGAAGTATGTGGAGGAAATTTTTTTTCTTTTGTATTTCCCTCACACACACGCGCACACGCAGAAAGTGCCATCCTTTTTGGTCCAATCGATTCATTTAGTTTACCTCAATGACACCGGAGCCTGCTGGAAATATCCTGTCCTTAAAATCTTCCTTCCCCCCTCCTTAAACGTCTGCTTTGGCCCGACATGATGAATGATCGCTCGGGCCAATCAATTCTATTTAGATAAGCTCGCCTCCAGATAGGACAGGAAAAGGAAGAAGGGTGGATTTTTTTGAGTTATTCAACACGGAGGCCCAAGGTTATTGTTATTTGGGATGTCCGCCAAACTGATATTTCACGGGTAGGGCGGACTTGGTAACTGTACGAGCTTGAGGAGTCTCACAAAGATGATCGAGGTGCAGAAAAATGTCGTTTGCTTTTCTGTGATAACCGGACGGCGGATCTAAAAGAATAGACTTGGTGTTGTCTTTGTCTTAACAATCTTTAATTTTCACAACTGTCCACTCTGATGTTGGCTTTCCAAAACCTTTAACCACTTTTCCAAAGTTACTGCAAAAAGTTAGGTTTTCCTGCAAATTGTTTTCCTGAGCCATTCATCGGTAGATATGCTTCATCATCATCATCATCATTTTACTATTGAAAACACAAACCTATGGTTCAAATGCAACCTTTGGACAGATGGCCTCACATTTCCTTCAATCAGGTTTTTTGATATGAGACAGAACTCATAGCTGAATCAGTGACTGCAAGCTGCCCAGTCCCTCAGGCAGCATTTCCCCTGTCATGCTTCATGGCCGGTGTGAGGTTCATTTCCCGAAAAGCTGTCTTTGGTAGGTGCCAAATATGCCTGCTGTTATTGTGGTCAAACAACTGTCACGAAACTGGCCAACCTTAGTTTTCTTTAAATGTTCTTTCTGGAATTCTAAAGCTTTTTCCTGGACCTGCAGCTCATGCAGGTCAAATGTATGTCAGATCTCTTTGTACCTGAAGAATCTGCAGATCCTCTGATGGCTTTTTTGTTTTCAGGCCACTCTCTGAATTCAGTGGCCTGTCTGTCCTAGAAAAGTTGTCATTACCAGACCCATTCTAATTATGTGTTTGTGAGGATTTGATTAACGTAGGGGTGTCATTGTGTTTTTATGTGACCTGAGAACACCTACACCTTTATCTTTATACACATTTGTTCTTAAAAGAATAAAAAGTTTATTCAAATAATTTGCAAAAGTACTTTATATGGCAAAAAAACATATTTCTTTACTTCCCCTTTACCCACATATATGTTAGTCTTTTATATAAGCTGTGATAATTGCTTTAAAACTGTACTTGACTGTGCACCTCCACAAAATATAGAGTTCAATGCAAAAGTTTTGAGCCATCCATTATTTCTTTATATGTTGCTAGGAACATGAAACATGGAAATACAGCATATGAAGCAAAAACAGAGTTTGTGTAGTTCTAGTGAGCTTGAAAGTCAGTACTCTGTAACAATACTCCCACATCGCCTCAGTAATGTTGAGGTGTGGGCTCTGGAGAGGCCAGTCCACGGCTGATAGCACTTCCATTCTGGCATTATTTTACTGCATTGGGAGTGTGTTCGGGATCATTGTGATGCTGAAAAATGAAGCTGTTGCCAATCAGATGCTTTCCAGATGGTTCATAAAAAAGTTATAGTACTTTTTCTGTATTCAAAATTATTACAATTTTGAAAGATCCCAAGACCACTGGCTGAAATCCAGCTGATGACAGGGCCTCCACCATGTTTTACAGATCCATTCATCTGTCCATGATGTATCTGGGTGGATTTCAAAAACGAGCATGGATAAATGTTCATACGTCTTCCCTTGTTAACCTGCACACCCCTGTACAGTCTCATTTATTTCAAAGTCTGAGGATATTCCAGTTATTCTAAAGATTTTAAAATAGTGAGATTAAAGTAGGCATCACTGCCTGGGGAACATTTGAATTCAAGGCCTTAAGTCAAGCTAACACACCAGATCAGCTCCATTTAAATAAAAATGGATAACAATCCAGCCTTATTAATTTACATGTGTCTGGATGATTTTACCAGATCTTCCAGCTTCACCCAGATGTAAAGACTTTCACCTAAAGTTCCTGCAAAATGACAGCGTCTGCAACAAGAACAACAGCTTTCTAAACTGGATCCGGTGTTTAATCCAAGCAAGACACTGACATATGGGCCTCAAATCAACACTTTGCCCATGAGATGTGACAGTTCAGCTACCAGCACTAAATCTCTCTCTGCTGGTATCAAGTCTTCATTGACATCTGTTAGCAAGCACAAGCTTCCTTCAGGAGTGTTACAGCTTGTGAAAGTAGCAGGGTTGGAGATGCTTAACCCAACAGCTCCACTGTGTGGCTCATTTGGAGCATTGCCTGTAAATAACTACCAGACATTTACACATTTTAATTGTGAATTACAGGCTTTTGCTTTCCCTTTATGAACTGCAGTAGAATTATGTGCAAACACAATTCAGGTTCTGCCACTGACTCAGTGCTGATTCATACTATATAATACAGGCTTTTATTTCCTTTTTTTTTTTAACATGCGCAGTAAAGAAGCCTGCAAAGCTGTAAATATTTTCACAGATACCATGGAAACAAATACCAATACTGGTGTTGGAGGCACACTGCCAAACACATTTCTGTGCTGTTAATAAAGTTTTAATGAAAACAATGAATTGTGCCAGGAGTCATTATTTACCTTTTGTACTTCATTAATCTGTCAACATGTCACACTCCTTAAATCAGTATGGGTGCCACTATGACTCACTATTTACTCACACGACACAGACGTGTGTTACAGACATGTAAGAAGCTCTATGTGAAGGGTTTTCAACATTTTCTTAACAGCTGATTTAGTTTCAGGGTGTGAAATCTCAGAACTATAAAACAGATTCTACGGAAAAGGCTAAAATACTGAAAACATCCTTAAGTTAAATTGTTTTTCAAATGGAAAAAATATATACATATTTCTATATACACGGGCTATGTATGTCAGTGAACATCTTGTACCAGACATATCAGTGCTTCCCTTCTATACTTGATTAATCTGAAGTTTCACAATGAAATAAATGACTCTGCAGATGCTGAATGTCATTATGCCACAGAAAGTTATAATAAATATAAACTGACTTCATAATAAAAATGTTTTTGCTGGCATAGAGAGATCGGGAAATGATTTATATATATGACCATTAAACAATCAGGAATTTTTCATCACAGCCACGATGATTGCATCCTAGATTTGCAGCTTATTCTAAAAAAAAAAAAAAAAAAAAAAATTTAAAGAATCACATTTATGCTACTTTCCCTTTAATGCTTCATATTACTTATTCAATTTTGAAAAAACCCAACCTGCAATTAGCCGCTATCCTTACTCACAAATGACTACACAAACACATATGTGACACAGGAATAAGTCTTGGGATGATTATTTCTCCGGCTTTTACATCTGCCTTCGAGTTTCAAGTGAGTGACAGGAAGCGCTGACATGAAAACAATCGACACGGCGATACGAGAACATTTCATTGCAGCATTTTGCTCTGTGGAAGCTCACTGACTGTCAAAGCGAACGCAAGTGAAGAGTAGCAAATGATATCTGAAAGAGGATAATGAGCGCTTGCTGCTTCATCGGCTGTGTGCAGAAAAACTCAAAGAAGGCAAAGTTAAAGGTGAGCCAACACGCAGGGTTGAAAAAAAAAAAATAGGAATACAATATATTCAAGAGGGTAAAGGAGGAAAAAAAATTACTATTCTCTGCTGTATCAAACTGAGGCAAAATGAGACCGAGGAACTGTTAGGGAACAGCTTTTGATTCTTGAGAACAAAGCTGGACCTTTTGCACTTTCCTCATCATCACTAATTAAACAAACGTTAGTGTGTGTTTGTGTGTGTTGCATTATGTGCAAAAAGGGAGATTACTGCAAGCATAACGTAGGAATAGATGTGCAAAATGAAGGAAATTCAGTTTTAAGCAGGAAGGAAAACAGTATTTTAATGTCCACAGATGAATTCATAACTTATCATAAACAAGATGTTTCAATACAAGACTTGGTGACACAATTAAATAAGAAAGGGAGGAGATAAGAATGTTATCTAATAATCAGCTGCACAATTTAACAATTTCTTGATCACTAATTTGCAATCAGAAATTAGTTTTTGATGGGATTCACATTACTTATATCACACAGATGTTCGTGTGCCTGGTGGGAGCACATGAGCGGGTCCTCTATCCTCACTGACGGTCTTCTCAGAAGTTGTATGGACAGACACTTTGACGTAGTCACCACCTCCATCATTCCTTTGCCCTTTGCTTGAAAGCAGTGCCTGCTCCTCTGCATCCTTGTCGGGGTTGGGGGGGGCAGTAATCTGTCTGTTCCCTCTCGCCACAGTCGACTCTATGTGTTCTGACGCAGGGTTCCCGGTCTCCCCCGTCTCCTCTACCACCGCCCGGCAGTTTAGGATGAGTGGCGGCAAAGGCACGCTGCGGGCCAGCTCCTCGATGTGACGGGCAAACTCCATAGTTTTGAACTGCGTGACCTTGGCGAGCTCCACCGTCTTGGCTGAAGTGACAATGGGGATGCTCTTGGCAACCTCGAATGCCTTCTGCAGCTTCTCTGTGCCCTCTGTCCGGAAGAACTCATTGATGACCCTCTCCATCTCCTTGAGGTGGCTGCTGACCATGCACAGGCGGGCCACGTTGAGGATCATGGTGATGGTGAAGGCCACCAGGCACACAACGACGAAATGCAGCCCCAAGCCACTGTCAGAGTAGGCAACGCGAAGAGTCACCGTGTAGTTTTGGGTGCCGCCGCTGGCGCTCGAGGCAACGCAGGTGTAGCTGCCGCGGTCCTCAAACAAGACCTCTGTGATGTTCAGGATGCCTTCCTCTTGAATCTGCCACCTTCCACCTGCGGCAATAACGCACAACATATTTTTACTTTTACCACAAAGTTTCTCATTAAAACGTTCAAATCTCCTTCATCTCCTTAATCAGCAGCATTACCTAAGGCAATTTGTCAAAGACAAGAAATAGAAGGCAGTCATTCTTTTTCTCCAAACTCTAATCAGTACACATCTCTGTCACCTGCTGACAAATAGTTCAGCAAGTCAACCAGAATGACAATTTCTGGATTTCTTTAGTATTTGAAAATTAAAATACCTACAGAGACCTTTTGGTGACATGGTAACAAGTGTACAAATACAGAAGGTGGTTTTATTCAATGCCAGTGTCCTGGGTCTACAATTATTTAAATACAACATCGTGTAACACATTATAGCACATCGGGATGTTATGTTAAAATTCATGGAAGTCCAATTATTAAAATGGCAGCATGAGTTAGGTTTGCAAAGTTACATCTGAACAGACTCAAAGACTTCGGGAACAATGTCCTTTAGACAGACAAGGCCAACGTGGATGTGTTTGGCAATAATACCCAGCATCATGTTTGTGCTGATAAGCTGTATTTGATTTTTGTTAAACACCTCACACTAACTGTTTGCTAAAGGCCAACTGTTTGACAGCTAAAACTAGGCCAAAACTGGCTCATGCAACAGGACAATGATCCTAAGCACAGCAGCAAATCCACAAGTTGCACAGGCCCAGCCAAAGTCCGGACCTCAACCGGACTAAACTGCTATGAACGGACCTTCAATTTATTTCTGTTAAAGGTGGTTCAGCAAACTACTGAATCATGAGATGTACTTAATTCATCACACACTGCTTCTGCAGTTTGTGTTAGATAAATAATGATGCAGTGTGTCACATAGTGTAGGCCAGCAGGGGGTTTTCTACGGAAGAGGATTAGGGCCACTAAGTGGGTACGTCTTTTTTTTTTTCTTCTTTTCCTGAATTCTGAGAAAAAAGTCAGAATTCTGACTTTAATCTCAGATTTTTTTTCCAGTGGCCCTAATCCTCTTCCGTAGTTTTCAGTGTCTGAACACACAAAATTTTATATATGAAATGAAGCATACTTCCTTTTTCCACATACTGTTTGTGACTAAAGTATTATTCATGGTAAAAACAGTAACAATGATTGACTAAGTGATTGATATGCTGGTTGAAAGGCAGTGCTTATGTGTCTTACTTTACATAAAACCTTTTTGTCGCTTTCAGAATTAAATGCCACTGAAATATCAGCACGAGCACTAACTCTGAAAGTATGTTTTTCAGTTCATTTGATTGCTTTCAGATAAAAAAAAAAGCCATGCAGGACGAAAAGAACTCGAAGCTGATCAAAATCTCGCTGCTTCATTTCCTCGTCCTACCTGCGTCGTCACCCTGCAGGGGTCCTTTAGAGTTGTACCAGCTGATGTTATCATAGGTCCCGGTCACGTTACACGTAATCAGCATGCTCGACCCCTCCTTCACCACGATGGGTGGGATGCTAGCCCGCTGCATTGAGGTCACCACCTCTGACCCATTGTGAGCTCCACCTGCTTTCCAGCAATTGAGCAGTAAGAATGTGGCGAGCCAGTGAGAGAGGTGAGGATTATGAGGCAAAAACATGTTGAAAAGAGCCACAGGTTCAGCTCACATTGGGACGAGACAAACCTGCAAAACAGGAAAAGTCAACGGTCAAATCTGATGTAGCGTCATATGACAACAGGCCCTTAGCTCTTTAGTGTCTTTATAATATGTACGTCTGCATTTCACAAATTTGAATGTTTAGTATATTAGTATTTTATGCAGTAATCATCAGGACATAAAACCTTTACAGGACAATTTTAATTAAAAGGAAATCACTTGAGTTTAAATGTTGTGTTTAAGCTCTTCTTCCAGTGAGGTTTTTTTTTTTTTTGCTTGTTTGTTTGTTTTTTAATCTTTTTTTTTTCAGAGCACTTTGTTGAATTCTTGATCTCATTTTTCTCCATGTCCCAACATTTAAGTTACAAAATCATCACCCTTTTATTTGAATAACATTATAATTTTGCTCTGAAGTCACTTTTAGCTCATTTTTTTTTAATCTATCTTTTCTGAACCCTGTGTAAGTGTACTGAAAAGAAATCTCGGTTATAACATTAAGTATACGGCGAACGGGACAGGCGTGAGGCACATTTACAGTGATGCTTAATGAGTGCGCTAAACTAACAATTCAGAATAAATTATCGGAAAAGTGGGCAATTCCTTAATTCGTTTACAGACTGAAAGTATCAGTAAAAGGTACTGTGGTGCTATAATACACCGAGTTTTAAACAGAAATATAACATAGGTCAGACACAGCTTGATTAAATAACAAACTGGTTCTTGTTACCGCACTAGCGTCCCAGGCACGATAATGGTTTTCGAACTAAAACCATTCAAATTCCCACCTGTTGCCCACAGAAACCAAGGCAGCCAAATCCACCATCAGCAAGTGGCAAAAAACATCAGATATGTATAGGATTCAGTACCACGTACGAAAGTGACCCAGTTCGGATGTCGGATTTGTGCTGTTCACACCGTCATACCATGATCGGATATGGGTCGCATAGGGTCAAAAAAGTCGGATTTGATGCGCTTTCGCCTGCAGTGTGAAGTTTTACAATTATTTTAGTAATTTACCTTGAGTGTGCCAGCCAAGGAAGCACAATCCATCCGATCCATTCACTTCCTAGTACAGGTATGAGTGAATGGGCGTGGTTTTCTGTCAACTCTTCCATGCAGGTAGGTGAGATCACGTCACTGTCGCCTATTTATTTATTTTACATTTTTACACGATTTATAAGAAATAATCTAAGTCAAACAGTTTATGTACTGAACGTTTTGTTATTTATTCAATGATTCATTAGCAGTTTTTATCTTTAATCGTGTTTCTCTATTTTTTTTCAATAAGTAATAACAAGGGATATAATAGTCATTTGTATTTGTATATTGTTGTTAGAATTAAACATCATTATTATTATTATTATTATTATTATTATCATTATTATTATTATTATTATTATTATTATTAAAGTAGCAATACATTAACTAAGCGCATTTTATTTTGACGTTTCCGGAAGTCTTGTTTTCTTTTTTTAATCCAGGACGACAGACCCCCCTAATGGGACTGATTCATTTCAAAATAATATTGCAAAAACTGAACCCTAAACTACTAACCTAACTTTTCGGTTCGAGTTTGTACTTTTTGTAAATTAAACTTTGAGCACATTTGTTTTTTTCTCTTCTATAAAGATTAATACGTTTGACGTTACAGTCAATTTGTGAGCATCAATGTGCTACATACTTTTATTTTGAAGAGAATAACAGGAATTCGTGTTTTTCATTGTGAATAACAGCTAGACTTTGAAAACAAAATATGACGTGGCTAATCCGGGTGGAAAAACCACAGCACGAAAATCTGAGCCATTAAAGTGTTTGTCAGAAAACTAGAAGTTGCTAAAGGTGTAGATACTAAAGTGCAAACCGAAACAATAAAAGGCGGATCTTATTTTTAATTTGGAAGCGGAAACTACTACAACTATTAGCTGATTGAGCTAACGTCACCTGCTAACATTACGACTTTGACAGCTGAGCAGGAGAAAAGGTGAGTTAATAGCAAGGAACTTAAGTTAGCTTGTTTTTTCTCATTAAATTATTAGTTTATTATAGTTGAACCAGCAGTCGATGCTAGAAAAACAGCTGACGCTCGTGTAAAGGATACTTGCAAGACACGAACTCGATGTTCTCCTAAACTGTTAGCAAGCGTTTTGAAAGGGAGAACTTAACAGTAAATCCAGTAAACATCCAGTACGTATTGATCCCAGCGCTAAACTATTACCACGGACTACAAGAAAACGTGACACACACATTTTTATGGATTATCTTTATACTTGTACAAACTCCTACTTTTTCTTCTGTGTGATGATTGTTTTCTTTGTCACTTTGGACTTTCTATGTACTTACATATGACTCAGCATCACTACCTCCAGCTCCCATGGATAGCTAAAAGCAATGCAAAGTCGGATTAATGCATTAATCTCATATTGTAAGAATAATTAGATTTGTCCTGACAGCTCCACGATTTAACGCTTGGAGATGTGAAAAGCTTCTGCTTCAAACCCATAAGAAAATACATCTCCTTAGAGTTGGTTAAAGCCTTGGTTAAGGGCCAAGCTAAAGAAACATTTAGTGCACCTCGTTTTTATGAGTAGAACAGCTTATGAACAGAGCAGTATGTAGTGTTTCTTCCTCTTGTGAAGCCCCGGTCAAAATATTTCTGTTTTTATGAAAAGACGCAGAGATTCCCTCACAAGTTTGATTTACTGGAGTCACTGTTTCAAGACTAAGTCTTTTGAAATTAGTGATTATCTCCCTGACATTAGAATGTATCACCCCCCCCCCCCCCCCCCCCCCCCTCAAAACAGTTAATTTCATATAAAAGGTCTCTTTTTTTTCTACCTTTCTTTTCTTTTTTCATTTCTTTTGTACGTACATTTTGATAAAATCCTGATTTTGAAGCTGTGATTTTGTTGAAATGTTTCGATTGCAGATCTTATCCAAGTTTAAGTGTCGTTGGGTTTTTTGTTTTGTTTTTTTCTTTTTAACTGTAAAAACTTATAAAGTTATAAATGTACTTATAAAGTTATGAAGGTTTAAAAATTCTGAAAAAGTAACACAAATTGAAATCCCAGCCCATGTACATCAAGGGACTTTTAATTTGAAAATATTCATAATATGAAGGTAAAATTTTCAGTACTTTTTTAATGTGTGTTAGTGTGGAAAAAAAAAAAAGGAACCCGGACTCCTCTGGGAGGTGAACTGAATTTACTCATGATTGAAACTGAATACTACTACTGCTATCACTACTACTACTATTAATAATAATAATAATAATAATAATAATAATAATAATAATTAAACAAAAAAATTAAACTCACAAGTGAAGTTGACTGACTCAGTTGAAAGGTCGACTGACACGTGATGAGGTGAGAAGTGCACAAGAGAGTTAACTACAAACCAGTACCTGGCA